GCCCGCAGCATGTGAAAAAAATTTTTCCTCTCGTGTAATTTTCGTTTTTACAAAATTTAGAAGGACACTGAAACAGAAAAAGTTGGTGACAAACAAAAATATCACGACGAAAATTTAACATTCGTACATATTTTTCGTACGCATCGTTTTTCCGATTAAAACGACCTGCCAAAAAAGAATCGTAGCTTTTAAATTGCCGTTTTTTTTCATTTCTTTTTTTTCTCTCTTTTTTTAAACGTACCATTTTTTTTTTATATTTCATCAAAAAAAAAAAAAAAAAACATGACGATTTAAATTGGCAATTTAAATGACGTTTAATCGAAATACATTACGCTATGGTAATTTATCCTTTTTTTCGTCTATTTCTTTTTTTCTCTCCTTTTTTTTTATGCTCTTTCGTGTTCTACTAAACCTTGTTAACAGCTATTAACGCTAATAATAATAACGCATCCGTAACGTACGGTAATCGCCATTCCTAAATTCCACGCAAATTCGCGAGTTTTTTCCCAGATACGCTTGTATTTACTGTTATGCTTTCCACTGACTGTTTTGTGGAAAGCATAGATCTACGTGAGCGTTAAACGAGCGAAAGATAACAAAATAGGAAACTCTAAGTGGATGATGTGCACCGCTTCGAGAACAATTTACTTCGAATTCTTCTCTTTTCCTCGTTGTCACGTAAAAAAATATCACTTCCACGCGCATCTTTCTTCGCAAACATATCCTTTCCTTATCTTCAAGCTACTAATTTCAATTCGCCGAGGATCAAACGCATCGACTTCTTTAAACATAAATTCCAAAGTATTGAAGAAAATATCAGGCGAATCTTTGAAACATTCTTTTGCAATCACTATTAAGAAACAAAATTCGACGACGTAGATTGCAATTTGTGTGTCGATGCAACGTCCTTGATAAGTTAATAAATTGAAGCTCCATTATTATTAGTAGTATTACTGTCGATGGAATTGAACTCGGAAGTTTGAACAATACTTCGAAAATTATCGTTAGATATTTCGGAGGAGATCATTGATCAACCCGTTTGTTATTAATCTGCATTTGTTCCGTGTACGGGTCCGCGGGAAGGAAGTGTAAAGGAAGCCAGAAGAACAAAGTACATAAAGAATATGGGATTAGCGAGCCGCGAAGGGAATCCCGACGCGAATGAATCGCCCGGATGATTAAAAGAACTTCCGACGAAAGTTCTTCGCGATGATTATTCGTCTTGCACGGATCTTCCTAAGTCAATACCGCCATCCGCGCGGCCTCTCTATCCCACTGTCTGAGACTGAAGGACGTAGGTCTCGAACGAAAGAGTTGAAAAGTCTGTGTTCCGTGCAAATTAAGGGACAGTTGGTTAAATTACGCGGTATCGATAGTTTTTACCCTAAGGGAAGAGTTTGGAAGCCTGTGTTTCGTGCAAATTGAGAGACACTTGGCGAAATTACGTGGTATCGATACTTCGACCTTTTCTTCTTCCTTCGTTTCTTGATCCTCCTTCCTTCCTTTCTTTTTAGAAAAGAGATCTTGACCTTTCGTATTATCGCGAATATATTTGCGAAACTGTACAAGATACAGGGGAAAGAAGTTTGCGGTGACAAATTTTCCAATATCGAGAAATTTATGTATACATAGGCTTATGGATTTTATTTATAGATCTTGTAAAATAATACAATTCTCTTCTTTCACATTTGCTGTGTCAATGAAGGTAAGTCTACTCTTCAACCATAAAGAGAAGAAACGCCCTAATTCGGCGAAAGATTCAAACAGTCACGAGTGTGAGGACAGTTTTTTGACAAAGCGTAACAATTTGGAGATAAAAAGCATCGTACGTGGTGTGATAACTTCCGCGATACGTGAAATCACGGCATTGACACGGGGATTAACGAGAATCTGGCCACTGGACGGTAACGAAATACGAAAGTAACGCGATACAGGCTGTTGGAGGTAACCATCGAGGATAACCGACGTCAGAGTTGATCACGTGCCGGTAAATTTAATTTGCTCGCGATTCATAATCGTTTCCCGGGCTTCACGTGCACGTCGTTCCATCGACGGAACCCACTTTTCGCGAAATTTATGTTCCCCACGTATACTTTCCCGCGCCGGGGGGGG